CAATGCACTTTTGCCTACGATGGAACCAATTTTCGTAGCACTTTTTCCATTCTGATTGTGGTATCTCCAAAACGTGCATTTTGAACGCATCAACAGCCTCTTCACGCCTCGAAAAACGTTGACCACGTAATTTATTCTTCACGGTTAGGAATAAATAGAAGTCGAAGGGGGCCACGTCAGGGCTGTACGGCGGATACCCGTTAATTCGATCTTTTGATCTTCCAAATACTGAGTTGTTTCGGCCGATGTGTGGTAGCTAGCATTGTCATGATGAAGAAGGATTCTGCGTGATCGGTTATTCTTTCTTATTTCTTCAAAGACTTCTGGCAAACAAATGGCAGAATTCACCGTTTTACGATCCTCTAGTGGCACTGTAGCCATATGTCCATTTATACCAAAAAAACGACCATTTGCTTCAAAGTGCTTTTTAAACGAATGACTTTTGTTGGGTTTGGCTCATCTTGGAATACCCAAACCGTTGATTGTTGTTTCAGGATCATACGCATATATCCATTTTTTTACACCAATCGACACGAGCCCGTTTTTGGCCAATTCTCAAATGTTCGTGTAAATGTTCTCTCTAAATGTTCGTTTTATATTTCATATATACTCGTCATACTTATTCCCAGAGACGCCTCTATCTCGCGCTATGTATCAATATATTAAGGTACAAAAACCGATTTAGGGCGACCTTTAAAGTCGTCCGTGAGCACAGACAGTTAAACAAATTGTAATCTTCAGCCAAAGAGTTCCATTTTTAAATGTTATTATTACTTTTTTAATATTGTTCTGTAACTGGCGAGTTCCGAATACATAAATAGCAGTTGCAGTTGTTATGACATTTATTCATTTTTTCCTTAATTTATTTCTACATAGGTAGGTACTTATATCACACACGTTGTTTAACTCACAGACTAATCTGACCTAAATTGAAATGACACCCTAGTTTTTAAGTGGTTAATGAAAGAAGCTTGTCAGAAGTGAATCATAAAAGGGAATACTTAGATGTAGATAATAACTAACGTGTATGAATAAGAGTGAATAAGAGATCTTCTAAGATGTATATATTATAGATGTATGTGTATATATTCATTTATATTAGAATTGCCAACAAATGATAGCATTAGGTACCTACCTACTATGGAAAAGGCACTAAAAAATATGAGTTTTATTTCATATTTAGGTACTGAAAATAGGCACCAAAAACAAGTAACATAAACAGAACTAATGTTTAAAACTTCAAATATAATAGCAACAAAAATATATGTAGGTATAATAGTTTAATGACAACATAGTCATAAATAATTTAGTATTATAGGTGACTATCATTTAAAAATCTTCAATATGTTTAAATCTGTAAATTCTAAAAGGCCTACAAATTCTAAATTAATACCTTTTATAGGTATAAAGGGTATTAATGTAGCCCTTATTATGGGTTAATACTCGTAAATGTAGGTCCGGGCTACATAACTGACGGAGTTGGGAAGCTATTAATACTCACTACTGATGAATACTAATGAAAACGGCACGACAATTGATGCAGTGTCTCGGCCTTTTAGCATCTGGCGTTATGAAATTTATCAGCTTATTTTGGTCGAGTGTAGAACGTGTAACTGGAATTCTTGTGTAATGACGCCATCAACTTGTTTAAACAGTACGTAAAAAAGTTTGCAGACACTAGTTCAGTCTATTGTTAGACATATCTCTATTATTTTTGGTTTTATCATTGTCTTGATTGTTGTTGGCTTTATTTGACTGTTTTGTTTTTTATTTTATATCACTAAGGCTAAAAAGTCTACACTAGCGAACAGCCAACGTCTTTTTTTGACGTATTCTCTGTCAGTCTGTTTGTTAAATTAAAATACATTTACTTAAGCATTTTTTTTTTAATTTATTAGGTATTCTAGAATACTTATTTTGTTCTTCTAAAAATCTAACATTTCAAAAAAGGTACATACGGTTTGTGTTTCAAATAACTTCCATGTGAGGTTTTAGCAATAGTGCTGCCACTTTTATAATCTGGTATATCCTTCACATCTTTCAATCATGTTTGAACAGGCGGCGCTACTTCTTAAACCTTCCCAAATCTCATGTACGTTGATACGTATCTAGTACGTACGTACGTATAGAGTCCTAATTTTGAACCATTAAACCCCATAAATTTTCAATGGGGTTTAGATCAGGATTTCTTGGCGGGAGTTTAATTAAATATAAATTTTCTTGTTGAGCTATCCACCTCTGGACCCTTCTTGCATTGTGCAAATTCGATTCTATGACCATCGGGATAAACAATTTTACCGGTTTGAAGAAATACATCTTTTAAGATGTCCACTTAATCGATACCGGTCAACATCAAATTAAACTTTAAAATAAAAAACAATCTTGATTTAATCGCCATTATTACAATAGGATTTACTTTTGTAAGGCGAACATTACAATTTATCAAAGAATTTAAGAAAAAAATCGAGACATCAAAATATATATTATAGAAAATTTGCATAGATATTTATGAACCTCACTTTGCACTGAAAATAATGAGCAAGGGATTGGGCACAATATTAGGTCTTTACCTATGAAATTGCCGTTTTGTATGCAATAAGTGAAAGTACTTATTTTTTCAAACTTTTTTATTTCTGTTATTCGAAGTAATCACCCATGCAATCGACGCATCTTTGGCAACGCATTGGCAGTATATTGATGCCCTTCTTGTAAAAATCAGCTGGACGGGAGGCAACAAACTCTTCAAAGGGATTTTGTACTGCCTCTCGGGAATTGAATTTTTTACCCACTAAAAAGTTGTCTAAATTTTGGAAAAAGTAATAGTCGGTAGGTGCAAGGTCTGGTGAGTATGGCGGATGAGGGAGAGCTTTCAACCCCAGCTCTTGCAGCTTGGAGACTGTTTGTTGCGCAGTATGGGGTCGCGCGTTGTCGTAAAGGAGCAGTGGGGACGACCGATTGACCAAAGCTGGTTGCAGATGTGACCACCAGACCTTGCACCTACCGACTATTACTTTGATCAATAAATTGTCGTTCCAAGTCTTCGAATCTTTGTGTCCGTTTTATGTCTGTTGAGTCACCCCGCGACACAGAATATTTTGTTCCCAGTGCAGGCGTTATTTAAAAAAAAATTAGTCGTAATTGAGGATTTGATCGTAATGCCCTCAATAATTCTGACTTAACAGGTGAACACGTTCATCACAATACATCATAAGTAAGTATGATTAACGGACACACACGACGCACAATTAATTATAAATGAGTTTTAATTACGGCGGCCAAGTCCTAAATGCATTCGATGTGGGTGACAAGGGCAGACGGACTAACAAGTGACACTCGTAATTTAAATGTACTGTGATGTGTCGCCATGGACAATAAATAAATGATTACAAGAATAGATAAGTTGTACAGCTAAAGTAGGACAGGAATGACACAGGAATTGACAGCATCATATCTTGTAGTAGGTATAAATCTGAGCGTTTTCGACTTGAAAATCGTTGCGGGTTTAAACCCCGGTACACTACCGTGAAGCAACTTGTAACATACTCATAAATACTACAGTTGCCAATAGTGTTAGGAAATGATTTTAATTAATGTGTAGAGGTTACAAAAAAGGCTATTTACCTGTAAACCATGTCACTAGTTATTTAAATTAGTTTATTTCCATTCGTGTATTGTTTTTATTTTTATTATGCCTACCACTATTTTATCTTATTACCAAGCTATCTTTTTATTTTATTACCCGTTGTTAAATAAGAAATAACCGAGTGTGACCGATTTGTTTTAATTATTGCATCAACCGTCGAGAGAGCGTTATGGCCAATTCCACAAACAATGAAAAAAAAATTCACTATCATCTAACTAAGACACGCTAAAGTACGAAGTCACTACTAATCCTAAATACTCGTAGATGTAAGTAATACTTTAATGAATCGACTGTGATGAATTGACCGTAGAGTTCAGTATGTGTATAAAAATAATAATGGCAGTGCGCGAAACTGGTAACACACGATCGGACAGAATACAGTTGATGGCATTTCTAAATAGGTACATTTTATCAGTTATTTATACAGCAATACAATTTAGTGATGTTAGCTATTTGCTATGCAGCACCAAAAAAATCACGGGTATCCCAAGTGGTAATTCGTATTAAGTATACTTAGTGATATACAGAAAACAAATTTATATGACGTGAAATCTGACATCTAGACTAGTGCTACGGCGAGACGCAACCCTGCCCATCAACAGCCACCACCACTCTGGCAACAGTGTCCGACTAACAAGCAAATGTCGCTAAACATTCATATCCTACCCTCCCATTTAAGTTTCTTTCCAGATATCATGCGTTTTGTGAGTAATGAACACGGAGAAAGATTTTATCAAGAAATTGCCGAGTATGAGAAGCGTTATCAGAGTAAATGGGAACCAGCCATGCTTGCAGGCTACTGTTGGAGCCTCCAGAGGGATACTGCGACTCAGTAATCGCAGTATCCCTCCCTTTTGAACGATTGGCTTTCCTCTTGCAGTCAGTACTAAAAGAGGAAAGCCAATCGTTCAAAAAAAAATGTTTTCTAATGTACAATAAAAAAATTATGTTACTCCTTCATACGAATTTGAAGAAAATCAATAAATGCCTTTCACTACTAAATCTGACGTGATTAGTTATACTGAAAGTTTTAAGGTTTTTAATTTAAGGTAATTACATACTGTAAGTCCAGTGAAAAGAAAAATATCAAATTTGTTGCATAGTGTTATCAATTCTCGTATCCTGTAATAAAAGATGTAGCATCGAACTTATAAATTAGTACCAAAATATATATATTTATAATATACATTCCAACTTTGACAGTTGACACGGCAACCGAGAGGGAATCTTCCCTTTCTGTTGAACAGACAACAATTGTTTCTCTACACATTACACATGTTATATACTATATTTTAAAGTTAAAGTACAGAAACAAATTAATAATGGCATCAACAACATTTATTAAGTAACAACAAAACTACTTTTTAAGGAAACTTATAAACAAGTGTTTTGTATGATACACTATCAAACCTATGGAGACAACGACTAGAGCTTCGGTGAGGTAACTCTTCGCGATTTCTTGTACTGTTTTCTCTCTAATTAAGTCCGCGGGCACGGGATTGTTTCGAACTATCTGAAACGTGGCAGGGAAAGAAACTTGTGAAAAATCATTAAATTGCAGATATTTATGTAGATAAATATAATTAATAACTTGACAAATCTCAAATACGGACGTCTGATCCCAACCTAGGCAGGGCTTGTACTATGGTAACCAGAGTGCTGATAAACATACCTTTATATATATTTCTAAATACATACATATTATAGATAAATTAAACCCAGACATGGATGCGAGAAGCCCAAAATCGATCTAAGTGGCGTGCAATGGGAGAGGCCTATGTCCAGCAGTGGACTGCGATAGGCTGATGATGATGATGATGATGAAACCCAGACACAGACAAAATTATCATGCTCATCACACAATATTTGACCTGGGTGGGAATTCAACCCAGGACCTCTGGCTTAGCAGTCAGGGGCACTAAGCACTAGACCAACAGGCCAATAGAGACAGAGATATGGGCTCTTTAAATTAGCCCACTGTGGGCAACTGGCCTTATCTGACAATCTCGAACCTAGCCCAGAGGCAAGATAAATGGGTAATGGCTTATCACCATAATTGATAAAAAATAAATGGTTTACTGAAAAGTGTACATCAAGCGCAGGTTGACTGGTCTTTACAAAATTATTCATGATTAAAACAGTTGTGTATCAGATTTTAAATCAACAGATCTTCCAGACTTTATTGCGACATGTTTACATTGCTGGCAAGCGAATACATTCATTTCAACATAATAACAATTTATATTTTATGTGACATTTGGTCTGTAAATTACGAACGGCCAGTGATAAAATTATAAACATCATACTTATGTTCCTGGTCTTATCTTTGAGAAATTCGTGTCTCATGGTAGGCACGTTTATGAAAATCTGAGGTCATGAATGATTCGCGAGGTAATTACCGCCAATAGATAATGTACATCCATCCCGTTCTCGGTTGCAGTACGAACATCTGTGGTAATCGTGACGGATAGTTGGAACCCTAAAAACAGTCTATCTACAGAACTTCCATATCGCCTAGTACTTAGGTAAATATCGAAGATCAGCCGTGTCGTAGTAGACTGAAAGCCGATCCAACCTAGTTTGAGAAAAGGCTCGGAAGATAATGACTAGTGAAATTATTTCTATTTTTGGCCTTACCAGATTCATCAGTCCTGATCATAGTAAGAGTTATACCTAGATCATATTGCACTATGACTCGTATTAGCGGTGAAAATATAATAAGCAGGCTTAGGTATTAAGATAAGATATATTGAAATAGACATAGCGGTCAAAGCAACCATAGCATTTATATTTCAAGACCTATGAAAATTAGCAAGACAAGAAATATATTTAGGTACAACAATCAAATTGAGACGAGACGTGGACAATTGTGAACATAAATATTTCGTATTCACTATTTGTTACTTGAATAAAATCCTTAGTGACTTTAAATACACTACCAACCAAAGACAACTAAAATAAGAGCATCCTTCTGCAAATTTTAAATCTTGTATGATTTTTGCACTTCGTGTACAAAGTGGCACAAAATCCAAACAAATTAGTGTTATATATATAGTGAAAAATTGTAAGGTGAGTTGTATTATTACTAAACAGAAATCCGATCCCTATCTTTAAAAAAAATAAAGGTCTGTGCCCCGAGCACGAACAACTTGCGAAAAAGTATTCGTATCGTCTTCGACAAAATTTGTATGACATTTGTGCAGCGCCCCTATCGTGCGTAAAAGTAACTAATTTTGGCAGCACGAACGTTTCGAATTTACTTTCGTATCGTTAACGTATCGTCAAGCATTCGATACGTTACACTTTATAAAGAAAATTGGCAGCACGAATGAAATTTTGACGTACGTTCGAAGGCTGGCTATGGAGCACCTGTCAAACTTAGTCGAATGTTTATTCACCTAAGATTTAGCCGTGAGAAAAGTTTCGAAACAATCAATTTCTTTTAAAAATATTATTTTCAAGTATTAACGGTTATTTTTTGTAGAGATAAAATGCAAAGACCGCCGCTTTAGTCCTATGTATGTTCTTGTCGCAAGTTTAATTGAAAATAAAGGTATTCAACAACTAGATTCGAGGTGAGCAAATCTTGTTTTATCTATAAAGTGTAAACTAAATATTTGTCAGAAACATTTGAAGAAACTTCTACTATATTAATAAAATGTAGTATACTTAGTATGTACCTATATATCTATTAATCTAATTAATTATTTTTTAGTGAAATAAGGCGAAGAGAAAAACAAAGAAAGATAAAAGTGAAGAAAAATCTGTCTGTTTGTAATATTAAATAATAGGTTTTTTTCATGCTCACACGGTTTTTTACAAGATACCTATGCCTAAAAACCAGTCTAAATATTTTTTGGGTCGGGTAATCTTCATAACGGCTAGACCGATTTTGATAATATTTTACTACCAGGTAGCTGTCTATATAAGGAGTAATTTAGCCTAATTGCCCGGTCCGGGAATCGAATCCATTAAGACAGCACTTTTCAAATTCTACGCAAACGATGTTTCGGGCACCAGCTAGTCCTTTAAATATAAATGACAACGAATTATATCGCTTTAAGCTAAGAAGTAGTTTGACTTAACCAACGAAATAACTAAAAGTAGTTATTTCGTTGCGTTGTATGCCGTGGAAGTGGGTGCGAGGGGTATAAGAGCTAAATCCCTCTATAACCTGTTTAATGACCCTGGATTGCTCAGTAAGCTTTTTCCTTAAACAAATATCTAAAGCGGCATTGCTAGGCTCGTACCAAATTTGGTTAGATAGAGGGGGTTACCGAGCAGACAGAGATGAAAGGCATATAGTAAAAAATTATCTAGTATGAATATTTTTTATTTACCATAATTTTAAAATGAATTATACAGAGTTGGTTTTTATACATTACATACACATGTTATTAGAGAACATTATTTACTTTGAAAAAGTTATATGTCTAGTTAATAATTTTAATTTTATTTCACACAATTACGATTCTATTAACGGTTAAAATATCATTGCTTGTTTTGAGTTTATTTTTCTTCAGGAGTCTTCCACTCCTCGCCACTGCGGTGACTGGAGAAGACTGAGAATGAACCTCAGATGCTGGTAAAGGAGGAGCCACAGTCGGTTGGCTGCTTGAGCCCGCAGTATTCCAATCTACAACAAAATATTGCAACATTTATTACTTATATAATAACGAATATAATATTTTCAGACATCTGACACACAACACTACCTAGTTTCAAACTAAGCAGAACTTGTGCTATGAAACCTAGATTGACTGATATGAGACATTAGTAGTCCCTGGTATGTTTATCTGTAGGATTGCTGTGGTGGTGTTCAAGTAACATTTATAAAGTGACAGATGTATCTATATTTACAATTGAAACTTTATTTTAATGTCAAGTAGCAGTGTAAGTCTCATAACAACGAGAAATTGAATTATAAATATGAAATTAATCATATTCTCAAACATCACATCGTTATTTTACATTACAGTACATTGAGTATTGCAAATAGTAAATTGAATAAACTCACCTTGCAAGAAATTACACCATAGCCACGTATTGTAAATGGCTTGTTGGCACTGACTTTTTTGATGTTGGGATTCTTGGCGCAGAAGATGATGAAACACGTCTTCGTCTGTGCTGTTCAACAGTTCGATTTATTGTGGCACGACTTACTGTGGTTTATTTTAAAGAAATCTTTATCAGTTTCTTTTCACATAAGACTCAACGGTCTATTGGTATACGACTTAGCTATTATTGGAAGCTTAGATTTTTGTCACAATCGACAGCCAACACGACGTAATAATACAATTAATATTATCTATAAAATGCTTCTTAAAGTTTCAAGGTTTACAAATAATCTTAAACTTGGTGATGAATTTATAATAAAAATAATAAACAATTTATTGACATAGCGTCGTATCTATGTCAATAAATTGTCAAGTGGAGACGTGTTATTCAGAAACCGAAAAAAATGTCATAATAATTATTTTAATTCTCCAAAATATACTGTATTTGAAAATCTCCCATACCTCATTTAAGATTTATTATGTGTTTATATAAGTATATTTTGTTTTAATTGTCAATAAATAGGTAGTTTAACCGAAAGTAATAAAAAGTTCACTATTTCATTATGTTTTCGAACGCATAGTTCATTCAATAAGATGTTGAATTCGTTCTTAAGTGCACATCCTTATTTACGTTAGGATGACGTCACTAACGTAATCGTATCGAGCTCTCGATACCTTAACGTTAGTGCTTCGTGCTACCGCCTATCGTAAAACTCCGCTAACGTATCGAAGACTCGATACGTTTACGATACGCATTCGAAATTTTTTCGTGCTCGGGGCACAGGTACGAGTCGAACTCGTGCGCCGAGGTTTTCGTACCTACCCAGATTTTACGTAGATTTTTGCGAAAATTTGTAAGTACCAAAATTTATCTTAATTTTCTACTTTTTTTAAATTTTTTGAATTATTCCTTTGCTGTAAGACGTTACGACTTTTTTTAAAATTTCGTGATTCTAGGTTTTCGACCGGTTTTCGACCCAAAACTTATAGGGTACTTTCGGTTGACCTAGAATTGTCAATTTTGGTTAAAAGCACGGTCTTACACTTGTGCTGTAAGACCGTGCTTTTAACCAAAATTGACAATTCATAAATAAAGAGAAAATTCTGAAAAATAAAAAAAAGTTGAACATTAAGGTAAATTTTGGTACTTACAAGTTTTCGCGAAAATCGAAATTTGCCCATATCTTTTTGTCGTGTTGACTCACGACCTTGGTTTTTCTACACCTAATAGGGACCATAGACCTTAATATCTGGTATAAATTTCAACTTGCTAGGTCTACCCGTTCTTGAGAAAATCGGTGATGACACACGGACAGACGGACAAGAAAGTGATCTTATAAGGGTTCCTTTTTTACCTTTTGAGGTACGGAACCGTAAAATAAAAATAAAACGTTGATGATGTATTTTTTAACTTACCTTATTGAGTATTTTCTTCATGTTTTTACTTTCTCTAATAATGTTATTGATATTATTTAGCAGTTTCTTAGCAGCATCCTTCATTTTGACAAGGGTGGGTGAATCCGGTGGTTCAAATTTCATTTGATTCTGAATCTTATTGTATTCACGCAAAGTATATTGTAGAGTAGCTTCTAATATGTAAATTTGTTGGAGGTGAGTGCCCAGTGACGTTAAACATTCTAGTACACTGAAAAATAAGATAGTGAAAAAATATTTTATTCTGGAAAAGTTGATAATCCCCATTCGTTGTAATAGTCAGAAAATTGAATTAAAGCATAGCCTTAGAACACCGAAATGTTTTAAACTTAACCCGTTCATAATATGCTCAAGTCAATTGTTTACATCTTATAAAAATAATAATACCCTAACCGCACTGTGTTAGTATTTATCACAAAGTAAAATACCTGTCAAGTAAAATCAAGACTCGTCAATCGTTACTGAGATTTTCTGATTTAAATAAAGATAAAAATGTCTATATTACAAAAATAATTGATGTCGGTGGTTAAGGGAAAAGCAATGTTGGTCGTTAAATTGGAGTGAAATAAAATATTTCACTCATTTCATTCATTCTACTGTTTTTTTTTAGTCACATATAATGTTTTTTCCTAGTAAAACTGTACGGCACACCGATTGATAGTGTAATTTTTACGCCTAGTAAAAAGAGATCAGAAGGAAAAAAGAAAATCAATTAAATTAGTAAAATATTTTTTCTTTTTTTATAATAATCAACCTTAGTTTACCAACCTGATAATAAATCTTAGCAACCATCAAGGATTTGAAATTGAGAGAGAGAGAGAGAGAGAGAGAGAGAGAGAGAGAGAGAGAGTTTATTTTACAAACATTGTACATACATGCGAATAACAGTAGAGAAAATTCGAGAATTCGAATGTTTTTGTGCGCTTACATTGCAAACGCTGGCTAAATCTAGATAGACCAAAATCATGTACTACGGAATTGTATTTCTTGAAAAGATCTACAAAAAAGTCCGCGATGGTATACGTCTGTCTCCTAAGGATAACCCACAGTAACCATTTTTATCTTTCAAATATTACAAAATAATAATGGGTTATTTAAGAAGCTATTTTAAACGATAGATTATTAAAGTATTCAATGAAATACGTTGGATACGTTGTGCATTTTATGTTGATTAAAATTGCTCTTTACAGTATATCATTCATATCACAGAAGATATTAGAGGTTTAAAATGCGGGAACCCAACGACCGTCGAGCCGCACATCCGTCCCGGGTGGCAGCGGCCGGCAGGATCGGATAAACATTGAATTTAAAGATGTCCTGTAGTCCTATCATAATAATAGTATAATTACTCCACACTGAAACCACATTAGTAGTATCTACATTGCACCCGTGCGAAGTCAGGGCGGATCGCTAGTTTTATATAAACAATTAAAGTTAAGTAAATGCGAGTGAAAAAATTGGCGTTTTGTATTGAAGTTCGTTATTACCTATAATTTTCCGACTTCCTTGCATACAATCCGGCAACAGCATTAAGTTTCCAGCCCCTCTTATGAAAATTTCTTAACCCAGTTTTAAGTCTTTGTCTTTCATACGGCATCTCAACGCCAATTTTGATCATATCCGATTCGTCTAACAGCAAGAAGGATCTTAAATCCATGCCACAGTTCATAATTAGGGAGGTCAATCTCTCACAGTTCATGCCATACAGAAGATGCGGAATTTCAGACGTGTAAGTTGGTCTGTAAAAAAGAGAATCATTCAATTAGTGCATGATTATTTAATTTTAACTTCAAACGTACATCAAGCATACTCATTATCAACGACAGCCTTTAGTAGTCCACTCGCTGGATATAGATCTCTCCTTAGAAAGGAGGTTTTGGCCTACTATACCAGAAGGGTTGGTATAAGGTTTGTTGGAAGTTTTCCTTCTCTTTGCAGTGCTTTGTGTCCTGCGTAGTTTGCTCTCTTAGGGTTCGTGCTGCGTGCGAGCCTAAGTGTCGCGCGGTCTTGATGGAACGTATAGAACCAAACGGCTCAGTGCAGCGTGCCCACGACTGACGATCGGTGGATTGATGATGTGATTGCGCAGCGCAACTTTTTGCTGTTTTATAACTAGATTACCAGTTGAACTTTATCAATTTATCTATGTATATATGTAACGTGGCAGAAACGGCTCGCAATATCAACGCTGCGTTTGGAGAGGAAACTGCTAATGAACACAACGTGCGTTATTGGTTTAAACGCTTTCGAAATAGAAAAGTTGACTTAAAGACCGAACCACGTGGAAGACCGCCCGCACAGGTGAATAACGCTGAATTGAAGGAGATGATGGAATCCGATCCGAGTCAAACTTCACAGGAATTAGCAGTATGGTTTAACGTTACCCTACCTACAATATTGACTCATTTGCATCAATTCAATAAGAGAAATAAATGTGTGCCTCATGATTTGACTAATCTGCAGAAAGAAATGCGTGTTGAAACTTGTGTTGCCTTGTTGAATCGCTACAGAAATGAAGGAATATTGGTTCGAATTGTGACATGTCAATCCACTTTTCGTTACATGTCAAAATTATCGGTAATAACGGTATCGAACCGTAAGCGAAAAGTGAAACGGCTGACCCCAGGTCAAACGCCGTAACAACGCCTTAAAGCAAAGCCTACCAATAAAAAGGTAATGGTAACGGTTTGGTCTCTTCATGGTGTAATTCACTTTAACTTTCTCAGGTTGGGTCAGACAATAACAGTAGGTAGATGTTTAGTGTGCCGAACTTCGACCAATGATGGCGAAACTGGCTCCATAATAACGCAAGAACTCACACTGCACGAGAAACCGTTGTAACTCTACAGGAGCTGCAGTTAGAAACTGTGGCGAGTAGGCGAGTACCCCTATGCGTTAGGACGAAGCATTAGATCATACGATCTACGTCATATGGCGTGATGTTCTGCACGTGTAAGGGATAGATAAGGAAAGCCCCGCCTACCGCAGGATGGCCGCCCACTTTCTATTGTGCTACCAGCGCGCGCGCAATATAGTGGACGCACATCTTTTGTTCCACGCCGACGCCCACATTCCGAAGTGCCAGGATCGAACCTTTATTATTATTAATTGTTTATGTATATAAATACCGTGTCGCATTATATTAAAATTCATTCTGTCTTCTGTTATCACCTTGGTACAATAAAGAACTGATTACTCCGTTGCCGAACTCTTTAATTATTTAGTAGTAAAACAAGTATTACTCGCTTCGCTTATAGTGATTTATGATAACAACTCATAAATAGTCGGGTGATTAACACGTTCATCAACACTAGAACTGGTGCGGGTTCGATTCCAAACCACTTCGCTTCACGAGTGCAAGTTCGCTCCGAACCACTTCGCTTCGCTAGTGCGAGTTCGATTCCAGCCTAATTCGCTCGACTAGTGCGGGTTCGATTCCAGTATATCCCACTCCACAAAACCATACGTTATCCTCCGTACTCGCCAGATCTGGCTCCAACGGACTACCATTTGTTTCATGATTTGGATAATTTTCTACGTGATAACAAAGTTTCAGGTAGTACAAAATCTTTCACACAATTTGTCGAATCTAGATACCCAGAGTTCTATCGTAAAGGCATAAATGAATTACTTTTTAGATAATAATAATAATAATAATGACTATTAACCAACTAGTTCGCCGTAACCGAAAAGATCTGGAAACATGTTGGATAGATTATAAAAAGGTTTTATGACTCTGTACCGCATACGTGGCTCTTGAGGGTGATGGAGTTGTACAAGATTGATACAGCTCTATGCACTTTTATGGAGACATGTATGCGGCAATGGAGAACGGTTCTTTGCTATCCAGGATTTCGGTAATCTCAAAGCGATGGCGAATATATAATGATTACGCGGGGTATATTTCAGGGTGATAGTTAAGTCCCCTTTTGGTTTTACTTGGCTTTGAATCCTCTCAGCACTATGTTGGAGGTTCGGGCTAGGCTATCGTTTGCAGAGAGCTGGTAAGGTTATATCACACCTCCTTTACATGGATGATTTAAAACTGTTTGCTTCCAGTAATTCCGTACTGATAAATTTACTGGAAATAACTAATACTAGTAAATGTATCAGGATGGAATTTGGTGTAGATAAACACTTATCTACACCAAATTCTATCCTGATACATTTACTAGTATTAGTATTAGTAATCATGCATGTAAAAAGAGGCAGGGTTGTGGAGTCTGATAGGTTGGAACTCTCAGATTCCACGCACTTTAGGTGTCTCTCAGCTAACGAAACATACAAATATCTGGGTATGTCACAGGCGTAAATGGCGTAGGTGTAAATGAGTTGACTATGAAACAATCGTTACGGGAACGCTTCTTTGGCCGCCTGAAAAAAGTATTGAATAGTCCTTTGTCAGGTGGTAATAAGGTGAGACCCTATAATGATTGGATCATACCAGTTCTAACCTACTCTTTTGGCATACTTAGATGGACTAAGACTGAACTAGATACCCTGGATGGAAGAGTTCGTACATTGCTTACTGCGTACCGAATGCATCATCCACGTTTATCGGTGATGAGGTTGTATATTCCACGAAAATGTGATGGTCGTGGTTTTCTAAATGCTAAGACCCTACACAATCGTGAGATATGTAACCTCAGGAATTACTTCCTTTCTGTTAATGTGGATATGCATAGAGATGTAGTAGCAGTTGATGACGGACTCACTCCGCTTGGTCAAGGTAAAGAGAACTGGCGCAAATTTGCAATACTCAACATTACTGATAGTAAGGAGATATGGAAGGGCAAGGAGGCCTTAAACAGGCCTGAGGTAGACCAACTAGGGTCTGTATTCTGGCTACGATTCGGTGACCTCTTCGGGTAAACTGAAGGTTTTGTCTTTGCAATTACTGATGAAGTTGTTATGACGAATAATTATCGGAATTATATCCTGAAGGACGGCACAATGATCATTACACATACACATATAATTTCCGGTTGTTCTCGTCTTGCCAACGACGTGTACTTGTATAGACATAATCAAGTGGCCAGGATAGTCCATCAGCAACTTGCTTTCAAGTATAACCTTGTAACTGTAGAGCATGTTAGCATACTACAAATATGTGCCCGACCCAGTTCTGGAAAATGGTCGTGCAACGTTGTACTGGGATCGCCCTATTATCACTGACATGACTATTGTTGTCAATAAACCTGTTATAGTGGTAATAGACCGATTAGAGCGCCGAGCAATTATTGTTGACATTACCATTCCACATGACGACAATCTCTTGAAAGCTGAAAAATAAACAAGTAAAGTATTTGGATTTGGCCCACAAGATTGTCGACATGTGGGATGTTGATTCGGCAATTATTGTACCGATAGTCATATCGGACCATGGATTAGTTGCTAAGAGCCTCGACCAACATCTTCAGAGGCTCGCGTTAGGCAGTTGGATTAAGGGCCTGATGCAGAAAGCAGTTCTCCTCAATACGGCACGTATTGTGAGGAAGTTTTTGTCTCTGGAGTCTGGACCCCCGAAATCTCGGTCCCTGTACCCGATACCGATGGGACACTATTTTTTATATTTTTAAATGTTTTTTTTTTGTTTTTTTTTATAAATATATTAAAAAATGTAATTTATATGTATATTTAATGAAATAAAGAGAATAATAATAATATTCTACCACTTTCACACAACGCCATCTAGTCCCAAACTAAGCAGCACATGTACTATGGGTACTAGACAACTGATATAAATAGATATATACTTTTTTTTTGTAAATACATACATATAAGTTTGATAGGAGTTTAGCTTGCTCTACTTAACAACAGTATGTATTATGAATTTTACACCGATACACATTTACACTTAAAGAACATTGATGATGGATGGGATGATAACTAAGTATAATATAGTTAGGGGAAATTTACCTTCCATGACTCATGCCTGGGTAATAATCTTGCCAAGGTGTTACTTCTAAATTATAAGTACTATCTGACTGCTCGTCTTCTTCAATATCCAGATGCTTTTTGAGTATATCTATAATACCCTGGTACTCATGGGATTCAGCAATATCCATTAAGGTGCGGTTGCTTCTATCCACTTCTGTCGTTCTTGCGCCTTGATTGATTAGCATTTCTAATATTTCAGGTCTATTATGGTGTGCTGCCCAAAATACAGCCTGCAATAGACTTTTTTATATCAAGTGGAATGCTTTGTTTTTGTGTTCATGATGAAAAACTGTTTTAGTATTATTCTTCTTTTATACTAATATAAAGGTCACATCATTGAAAAAACGACAAAGTTATCAATTGTACAGTTGTTTATGGTCTTATCAATACTTAAAACAAGTCCATTAACTCAACAAGTTAAATAGGGAGAGTTCAACAAAAGGTCTGACAGGAGCTATAGAATATTAAATCTGGTACACTAAAACACTTAATTTAGAAAACCGAGTTTCAGGGAAGCAGCTGTATAAGCACATAGGTATGTAAATATAACAATAAATAATACAATGATGAATGTATTGCCCTAGTTGAAAGTAAATTATTTCTATTTGTATAAACATGTCAGTGTTTCTTTACCCAACTGCCAAGGAAGGGTTGCGTTTTTCGCGCATTATATTGTATGTTTGTTTGTAAATTTCTTCATTACTTTGTATCTTCTTTAAAAGAAAAAAAATGTGGTGTAGCGTTTTGAAAGCAAAAAAGATGTGGCGGATTTTTGGCGCAATGGTAACAGGTTAGTAGAAAAAAGAACTAAACCTCCTTTCTAAGGAGAGGCCTATGTCCAGCAGTGGACTATTAAAGGCTATTGACGATGATAATGAACCAAACGAATGATGATGATGCAACCTATTCAGTAGGGTACAAAAATCAAGAAAATTGAAATGGGATTACAGAAATATATATAAGTTATGTATATATTTAAATTTAATAATTTAATGATCTTGTGTTGTTTCAGTCTTTTTAGTGAATTACTTTAAAATTGTCTTTTTGCAGTCAGGTTTGATTTTTTATATGATTGCCTTGTTTTAAATAATTAACAGTTTTCCTGCTATTGCAGTTCTGTAATTTGCCTTTATAACAAAAGGGTAAAACCAGGGAAATACTTTGAATTATTCAATTAGCTTTGTACTTACTGTCCATCCTTGCTGGTCCCGCATTTCAATATTTACTTTCAGATCTATAAGTTTCGAGACTACTGCCGCTCTACCACTACTGATAGCTCTCATTAATGGTGTCTGACCATATTTGTCACCAATATTCAATACACAGTCCTTTTCTATCAAACTCATAACAATGTTGAATATTGCTTCATCACTTGCACTGCTGTTTGAGCAAGCCATCATCACTGGTGTTACAGAGTCTGTAACGACATTAAATTATCTTATCTATTATAAAGTAATAACAAGAGTCCCCAAATCATATTGCTAATCTTCTCTATAAGTTAATAGAAATCAGAATACAAATTTATTAATTCAAAGTTAAATCCACCATTATTATTGATTGAGAACTTCCTGGTAGGCTCTTTGAGTTGTGAAAAGATCAGGAAGAGGTAATAACAACTTCCCACCAAAATAATAGGGTAGATTCCTAGGTTTAAAATAAATTATTTCGCCTGTATCATTAAATCTAACATCTCAAAGTAGAGGCTGAATTGTCCTCCATTGTCAATTTAATTTTTTTATTGATTTGATATCTTGAAATCAATGTTAAATATAAATGATTTGACAATAAGTAGCTATAACGTCACGACATAGTATATCATACAAAAATGTACCGTGTCTAGCATTTTGACATTTAAAAAAAGACACTGATTTGATTTGACAGTCATCTACCCTATTTAAGCTGTACAGCATCACAGCATCTCAGAATGTAGCCCTGTGGGCAGGACCAATGGTTTTCCTCATAGTGTAAGAACAATATTTGCCAAACTTGTTCTTGAGCTGACTAAACCTGTTAATAGGGTACAATTTTCCAGTTCACTTCACTTATTATATTTGCTTCATAGTAAACAACTTTTGAATAAATACACTGGGTAATCAAAAAGTTAATATGTATATATATTATTTTAAAGACAAGACAACTTCCGAACTAGGAATATATCCTGTGCCATTGGGAACTTTACTAACATTGATGAAACGGACACAAAGAACGTCCAGACTCAGAACAACAATTTGTGGATCAAAGTATTGTCCCATGTAGAACCTACAACACTTAGCACAGTATCAGTAAGGTGACCGCTTAAACCATTTTGCCATTTGTGCATTAATTATATATACTTTTATGAGCTGTTTGAGCTATTAGGTAAGAATATATTAACATTTTAGCGGAATTTCCTTACCTGAATGAAAGTTGGGATCAGCTCCTATATCTAACAAGTATTTAACAATTTTGTCTTGTGCATGGAAACAAGCATGCATCAGGGGAGTCCAACCACTGTCCAGTTTCACATTCCCTTCATAGTTTAATTCTGAAATTATGAGTGATCAAAAATGTTTGTTTCTAAATATACTTAGAAACTACCCTAGAATCATGTTAAGGGTTAAAGTCTATAAACATGATAAATATGACATTATTTTGTAAGACTTTCTATCGACGTCCATTGAGTTGGGGGTTGATATTTTTTATAGAAAGGTAATATTATTATAAGCATGCAAAGTTTCAACATGCGGAGACTCTTGTTCTAGTTCTTGATATTTTTTTCATTGAAATCAATTATTTTTGCAATATTTATGTCAATCCCTAGCATAGATTATATGGAATTCATTTACCTACGGTTAAGTTTTCATCCGTTTGCTATTTTGTACTTTTCCTTAGTTTTTATGCACCCATATATGTCATTTTATATATATTGAATTACAGCATTATTTTCATTACGAGCTACTAAAATTAAAACATGTAGTGTTTACGGTCTTTTGCCGGCTTATGGAACGAAACGTAAAACTGACCCATTAAAAAATATCAACCCCCAACTCGACAGATGTCAATGGAAAGCTAAGCCCATCATTTAAGAGGTTAACCTAAACTAGTTAGTATTACGACTTTTGCATATTTGTTTATAATAAATATACTCAGATAAACAACATTAAATCAGTTTAAAAATTCTAACACCCTTAAGAAGCTATATTAGTAGTGCGAGAAAAAGTCATTTTATTTTGAAAAATTTATGATAAGTCCCTTCAGAACCAATTCACATGAGACATTTTCAAACCTAGAAACCTATTTCTAAGAATGATTGTCTTATTTCATTTTTTGTCTAGATATTGTATTTTTTTTAAGATGCTGTAGTAGAAGTGGTTATGAGGCTTGTACCTTTTTTCAATATTTTTGAGACAGATAATACAGATATAAAAAATTACAATGACAATCACAATGCAGCTGTAGTTGCAACCACGTTTAGTTTATTTCTGTAACAACTGTGTTCTATTTTTAAAACAACTCCAAGGCAATATTCATATACTTATTTTAATTGAAGAAGTTGATTAACTGTTGTACTAGTTTCACCTGAATTATAGATACCAAAAAGAATTGATTTTACCTGCTGCCACAATCTCTTCAACCTCCTGCAAGTTACCATTTATAATAGCATCTTGAAGATTGATTTCAATCTTTTTCTTCTCATTTAGCTGCGGAGAATTATAATTCCTTGCCTAAAATTTATAAGTTACATATTAAGCATTAAAATGATACTTTTTTTTAAACATTTTTGATATTTTATAACGAATATTACCGGTCTTTCATAGAAACCACAGTCATCGATGTCCGAATCATCATCCGAAAGGCCTGCTGGTCTAAACTGAGTCATAATTGAGCTATCTACTTATCATATACAAAAAATAATGACTATTTAAAAGTGGTCACGTAAATGTTTTTCTTATTAATATTAACTATTCATCAAGATAACTTTTTATTAAACAGTATAGAGTCTTCTTGTTTCTTCAAAACAAAATACGGCTTTATGACATGAGAGAGTTGACAATCCAGAATTTCAGACCGCGGTTAACGTACCGGCCAGTACAGATAAAGTATGAGTGACATAACAGTGTTGCAGTAAACAAAAAAGAGTATCAATTGCTATGAAAATGTATTAATATCAGGGCCGCCGCTAGCTGTTCGGGCGCCCGCGTGCCACCCTATTCTCTGTGCTAAAATCTCTCTTCTATTAAAGAAAGACCATTTTAAGTTCTTTTTATCGTTATCTCAAATGAGTTTTAAAATCATGTTACTTTAATTTGATAAAGTTATACCGCGGAACTTAATGTCATGCGGTTTTATTCTATGAATTGCCATGGCACCGCGTGCAAGCCACATAGGTCACTGGATTGTGACCACCCCCGCTCCAGGAATAGGTGGGGGGGAGGGGACACTTGGGCCTCGGTAACCTCACTCACTCGATAGAAAAGAACAAAGTAATTGTTTAACACCGGTTATTTATAAGGTCGTCATCATCATCAAGAGCCCCTAGCAGTCCACTGCTGGACATCGGCCTTTCCTTAGAAAGGGTAGGGTTTGTAGGGTCAAGCCGGCACAATTTAAGGCTTTTCTTCAACGTATCAGTTCTTATTTGTCTATCTTCATCTTCAGCCAGAACTGCTATTAATACTCAACTCCGGCCAATCATAACGACACAACGAACTTTGGATCTGCGTAGAACAAAACTGGTTTGTTTTCAAGCCAATCCTCCATAACGGGCCTTCATTAACATCATCATCATTAACAGCCTTTAATAGTCCACAGCTTGACAAAGGCCTCTCCATAGAAAGGAGGTTTTGGCCTATTTATCGTTTCTTACCGCCCGGCCCCGAAATAGCGTACAAAATGTTTTTGTTTCGATTTCTGTTTTTGCCGCCCCGTTGAAAATGCCGCTAGTGGGCACTCTCTGTACACCCTTAATCGGCGGCCCTGATCATTATAGTTACCTATTTTTTATCTTTCATACTTTTCTGTAAAGATTGGGAATAATTGACACATTTTGATTTATCTAAGTATACCTTAGATTATTAAAAATTACCTCGAAAAAAAGATCTACATCCAATTGGTGACCTGGTATAATATTGTGTCCACACTTGTTGACCCGTTTCCTCTCCTCGATTTTAAGATTTAATTAAATGGGTATTTTTATATTCCTAAGCAGTCATGCTAGGGAGACATTGCCATTTTTTCTTTCTTCTTCTTTATGTTGAAGAGTACGCAGCGTTTTAGTTACTCACGAGTGGTCCAAAAATTGATCAGTGTCACTGTACACTACGGCATACTAAACATATAGGTACCGGTACACACTCTAGGTTATTCATTCTAGAAAGTGGATGTGTGGGATTATTATAAACTAGAGCGAAATGAAACTTCTTTTATATGGAGAGGCCTGACTATGTCCGGCAGTTGACGTTTAAAACCTGTTGGTGTTTTAGATCGATTTGATTAGAGTACTGCGATAGATAACATAAAGTAATGATCACAAAATTAAAAAAAAAAACAAATTACTGTAAAACCGGCTTAATATGATCACGCCTAAACTGTTTTATATATTATTATTATACGGCAACTAGTCAGATTAGACATGTTTTTAATATGGTTTATCATGCTCAACACAATTTGACATCCAGTTTAATATACCTACCATCTGCAAACAAGGACTGCGACACTGCAAAAAAACATTCAAACGAAAATCTTTTGAATGGAATATGTGAATAACGCACAAAAAGAGACCATAAGTGGTGACGATGACGATAATGTAAGATAAGTCGCAGTTGCAATTGTCAGTTGTAGGTAGCTCGTTGTAGTGCACCAAAATCTATTTGTCAAACTAAAATAAGTGAAAACTTGAAGTAGGCGCCTCATGTTATATTAATACATATACATAATAAAATAACTTTCTAACAACAAGAAAAATGTAGCTCATTAAATATCAACACAATATTACTCTATAAATAATAAGTTTTATTTCTTTTGTTCATAGGTGCCGTGATAATTACGAACGATTTATTAAACGGTTTACATATACCCGTATTTTTTTCGTATTCAAGTATTCAAGCTTCTAAATAAACTGCTTTCAGTATTATGGTGTAATCAAATGGGCAAATGACGTTTACCTAATATTGAAGGAATTCAATTAGCTGTCAGTATCACTAAAACAACAGTACATACAATACAATACCAGCAGCAGCAGCGCTATTTGTTACAATCCATTTGTAGTAGACGATTATATTTAACGAATTCAATGTGAATTTTATATGTCAGTTACAAAAACCTTGGAGTATCTGGATGAGTGGATGCCTACTTATGTTTCAAAACAAAAGCAATGAGTCTCAGTCAATTTGAAGAAAGACGAGTAAAAAGTCTGAAGTACAATTCACAAAGTTGGAAGTTATTCTCTGCGTCGAAAGGTAAGGATAATAGGCAACAGTTCCAATTAGACGACGAGGGCGTTTGTTAACATTTAATTAACGTCGGGGAGCCATTGTGTCGGTGGCATGGCAGACACCAGAGCCGCCGCCAAGCTGCGTCGCTATGTCTTGATGAGTTCCAGTCACAATGTTTCCAATTACATCAGTTTTTTATAAACACAACTTTGCCTTAGTAACTGCAAGAACAATGCCAGATTGGCTTCTTTTTTATGGACACGTAGGATTTAATCGTAGTATATGGTAAGGTGAGATTACTTTAGTAATTAATTGCTTCGTTAGTTGGACTTTATTTACTTTAAAAATATCTCATGTACAACTTTTGGAGATACTTTAGTGTTATTCTTACTTTAATTAAAGGTTAAATATGGTGAGTCAGAAAGCAGAAAAGTAGATGAAAGGAACTAGAGCAAGATATTATATAAATCGCTTCGGGGCAGCATGTTAAGTCAGGAATATAATTGGAGGGTAATTTTTTACTGGTGGTCGAAGAAATGTTTGTGAATGTAATAAGGATTTTTCTCAGCGACGTTGAAGGTAAAAGATTTGATTTATCGCAGCCGGCTAGTATGGCGCTGGGAGCTGACCACCCAGCGGCCGGCGGGCGCGGGCCGGCCGCGCGGCCGCTAGCTGCCCGACCGCCCCGCCCGCCCGGACGCGTTATTAAACTTTTCCCCATATTAAACATTCCGGAGACGAATACATTTTATTGTTGCCTCGGACCGACGTCAGAGGCCCCTACAAAGCGAAACTCAAAGACGGCAATTGCGAAATAAATTGAAAGCAATTTGATATTGCGTTGTAAGTAATAGCCGTCAGAACCCACAAGTCTGTAGGAGACATTTTGTATGCAATTTAGAAAAATTTCAACGGGTCATTTGGTTGTAGCTTTTTGGTCGAAAGCTATAGTCAGAAGATTTATGATTTACTTGTAATATATGGTTTCATGAGCTAATTTGCTAATTTTCTGGATACGAGAAGCCGAAAATCGATCTAAGTGGCGTGCAATGGGAGAGGCGTATGACGAGCAGTGGACTGCAATAGGCTGATGATGATGATGAGCTAATTTTGTATAGCTATTACAACTGCAGATAGTAGGTCCTACAAGTGTAACACAGCGTGAAACATTCAACTGCGAAATGTAGAATCGTAGACAATATTATTTTAGAACTATAATACCTTTATTGCGTTTGGTTTTTTTGTTTACATCATTTTGGTTTTATAACTCAGAAGTTAAAAAACCGCTACAGTAGTAATTTATTCAAGTATTTAAGTATTTATGTCTTATTTAAGTATTTAAGTATTGTAAGAACTGGTATGTGTCAAGTTCTTTTTAGTTATCTAAACTAAAAAGAACTTGACACTTTACAGTTCGTGTAAGTCAAACTTGAGTAAATATTATATGGTTTTTCTCATTTTCTGTTTACTCATGTCACCGCAAAGAACTATTCTGTATTATTTACAGTTTTTTTTCATACTTTCTTTATAGATAGCTACCGTGGAAGAGCTATGGGCGCTTGGGGCGGCTTGACTCGACCGAAGTGATATCTCGGCTTCACGGAGCTCGCTGTTAAGCAATTCTCGTTCGTTGCTTTTCACCGAGTGGGTGAGATGACCGTAGTCCTATTACAAGCCTCAGACAATTCATTGACATAATTCCAAAAGAATATTTTTACCGTTCTCGAGAAATTTTGAAATTCGAGAAAAAAACTATAGAAACCAAAAGTACATACATCTCTAGTTCTTGTATTATATCCACCTTAATGTGTCAGTTATTTCTTAACAGACGTCTAATAATCTATACTCAATACTCAATACTCAATACTTTATTGCTACCATAATGTAAATTTCTAGTTGAATAACATTTAAAAACAAATTGTAATAATGTGAAATTCTGCTTAGTATGTACAATGAGTTCTAGATATATAAAGATAAACCATCCAATAAGACGCTGGCTTTATTAACTTTTAATTAACGGAGTTGTGTATAGAAAATCACAGTTAAGGTAAACGGCTACCGAGTAACAAGGTTCGTAAGTCATTAAAACTATACATGTTTCACGCGTATATGAATACCATTATAACTAAATCACTCTTACGAGTATTAACAGACTTCGAGGTGTTCTGGAATAAAAAAACAGGTCGGACCATAAATGTTTTTAGTACTTACAATAGTGTTATAGCTAATAAAAAGGTTAAAGTATTATAATTACCGTTGTATACGTTGAATTGACATAAAACCTTCATGGTGTGAGATTTTCGTGTTAAACTTCTTCAAATGATACCTATGAGGATCTTCTTTTAATGTAATGTGCAACATTCGATTTTCGACTTTCAATTGTTTTTTTTATTCGGCTTATACATGAAAGATGGATACTTCGAAAATCCGAGTTACTTTTGAATAC